TTTCTCCCTTCCTCCCCATTTTTTCTCCCTTTCCCTTCCTTTCTTTCTCTTTTCCTTCTATAATCATTGAATATTAAGAATATTCCCAGGGCTAAAATACAGTGATAAATAAGACAGTTTTATTTCCAGTCCTCATAGAATTTATAGTTGAACGAAGGATACAAATAAGTAAAACAGGCCTTTTCAATATAGTATGATGAGTGCTTCTATGACAGAAGTATAAAAATGCTTAAGTTTAAAAGGGGAATGAAGGGAAGGGATGGGAGATGGAAATAGGAAATACAGTAGAATGAATTGGACATAACTTTCCTATGTTCATATATGAATACACTACTAGTGAAACTCCATATCATGTACAACTGCAAAAATGGGATCCAAGTTAGATTAAGTTATACTCCATGTAGGCATAATGTGTCAAAATACACTTTACTGTCATGTATATCTAAAAAGAACAAATAAAAAAAGTTTTTTAAATGCTCAGTTTAGATTTAAACAAAAGTATACAGAAGCCTCATTCGATGGGCCAGGAAAGGATTCTTAGTAGATGTGATTGAGACCCAAAAGATAAGCCAAGTATGGAGGTATCTAAGAACAGAATGGCCAATGGGAGAGATAGAAAAATATATTGAAGTATTAAAAATACTCAAATATCCCAAGGGAGAGGTAGGGAGAAGAAAGATCTTTAAAGGAACTGAAATAATACAGTATGTCTAGAGTTCAGTTGCAAGTAGTATAGAGTGAGATGAGGCTAAAGAGCTAAGTACAAAGTAAATCATACTGACCTTTTCACTATTTAGGGATTTATATTTTATTTTGAAAGTATTGGTAAGGCACTGAGGGCTTTACTCAGTGAAATGATCTGAATTACATTTCATAAAGATCACGCTGGCTGCAATGTAGAGAAGGAATTAGAGGATGAAAAATGGGACTCATTAGTTTGTTTTTGCAATATTTCAAGGAAAATGATGGCCTAAGTTATGGTAGTGCCAGTAGCAATGGAGAGAATAGATAGAGCTTAAAATATTTTCAGAGAAGGGATCAACTACCTTGGTACGTCACTGATCCTAAAGGGGAAGGTTGAAGGAAGTAGTCAAAACTGATGTCCAGCTCTCTGACTTGAACAACTGGGAGAAAAGTTAAGTAGGAGAAGTAAAGGAAAAACAAGTTTGGGGAAACAGAGAAGGATAAATTCGATTTTGGAAATAACCAAATTTAGAGGTACAAAAATGTCTAGTATAATTGCCCTACACACAGTTGGATGCAACTGAAAAATCAGGAGGGAGAGCTAAGCTAGAAACAGATTTGAGAGTCATTCACATGAAAAATAATAGTTGACATGGGACTAAATCAATTTTTAAGAACAGATAGAGTGAAAAGAGAAGACCTAGTAAAGAACCATAAAGATTGCAACATTTAAGAAAGACTGACAGGCTGAGGTTGTAGCTCGGTGGTAGAGTACTTGTCTAGCATGTGTGAGGCCCTGGGTTCGATCTTCAGCACCACATAAAGGTAAATAAATAAAATAAAGTTATTGTGTCCATCTACAACTACCAAAAAATTATATATATATTCATATATATATATGAATGATCTGAGAAATATTTGAGCTGAGAACTAGCCTGAGTTGTTTCTAGTTCACGGATTTCTGTGTATATACTAGATATGACTGTGATGTACCATTTGACTCATTTATTAAAAGGTCTTCATGTAAAACTGATAGTTGAACTCATAATTTTTTTCATTAGGTACAGATGAATAAATCTCAAAGTGTGGACCTTAAAGGGTTTGGTTTTACTCCCAAACCTTCCCTTCCTAGTTTATCAAGGTACAAATATAATGTTAATATCTAAGATAAAATATTCATCTTAAATTCTCTTTTCCTTCAGATAACTACTTGTTCAGAAAAAGGTGATCACTAGTTACTATTCACAGTAATCACAGTAATCATTTAGTTCTATAATGAAGCAATAATATCATAAGGGTTTCATTATCTTTCATACCCTAAATTTAATTAGAACTCTACAGTTACAGAATACTTTAACATTCATTGAATTATCTCTTTCCTAGGAAACTACTTCAGGTTCTTTGCCTTCTTAACTTAAGTGACAGGAATATACTGTGCTTTAAAAAGATAAACCATATTGGTATACAAAGTCTTATCTTTCTATTCAGGTGCTCATTCTATATTAATATACCTCAAATTTATAAAATATTTTGTAATTTTAAAATTTCACTTTTGTGCATTATCTCTCTTGACCTTAACAACAACCTGGCTTATAAAATAAGGTATTTTTATCTCTTCTTATTGATGAAAAAATCCAAACTTCGTATTCCCAATTAGTAAGCCAAGGACCTCAGGTGATAATTCAGTGTTCTTCTATCATGATGCCTAGAAACCAATAGCACATGTAATTTTCCATTCAGATAAGAGCATTCTAGATATAGGGATGACATTCAATTTATTCAACAATCAGTACAGAACAAGAACTAACCATCAGAATACTAAATTCAGAACTGCTTTTAAAGATTTCAGCTTTTGTTATCTAACTGTAAATGGCATTAGCAATAGATTTGTTTAAAGATTGTACAACGATAGCAATATATACTGGGAGCATGTAAAGAGGACTAAATGTTGCTCTCTTCCATTGAACATCTGTTTTTACCCTTTGCTACCTAGTCTGAATATATTTTATCATTGAAGTACTGAGTTGATAAACCATGGGTTTTTCCTTTGTTATAAGTAACTAATTTTTAAGTTTAGGTTCTTTTTTAATATTTACTTTTACATTTTTACTGTTTTTTTTATACCTTTATAAAGGTCAGAATATTTAAACATACCTGAATTGCCTGTAATGGAGCAATGTGATCAGCATGAAATCCATGGAAAAGTTCAACAAGAGCCATCTGAATATCAAGACAAAAGTAAATTATTGGTGATACTGATCTGAGAGGGAATATGATTTGTCATTACTTTAGATTGACAAGTAATATTATTGAAAAACCAACACCTACAATTATTTTGACTTTTAACTAAGCAGCATTTTTTTCCCTTGGGTCTTTGAACCAATTTTAAGTTCTTGAGTTTGTTAATTCAGATAGTCACGGATTTAGAAAAGTATATATATATTTTATATGTATATATATATACATATGTGTGTGTTCATTGATTTCTGGACTTTATGTACTAGATATGACTGTAATGAATATATATATATATATTTTTCCTACATGGTGTTGCCTAATTTAATGATAATCTGAGAGAAAATAGGGGATTCTTGGATAAATATAGGATTAAAATGTTAAATTATTACTTTCATGTATTTTAGAATTATTTAAAATAACTTTATGTTTTAAAAATTAGTTCAGTTTTACAAAATAGCTGTGACCTTGGGGAAACTACTTAACCTCTTTGGACCTTATTGGTACCTTTAAAATGACAGGATTGAAATGGGCAGACCATTAATACCTCTTCAGTTCTTAACCTATGATTCTTATGGTTTCTATGATAATATGAGATAATGCATATAAATTCTTCAGCACTATGCCTGGCTTATTATTAGTCTGCTTCCTACTATGAAGAGCATTATTTCCTTTGATCATGCCATTAACTATAAAACTATTAAAATGCATGAGAAATAATCCTATCCATTGAGTTGTTTGTTCAAGTGGCTGTATGTTAATGTAAATGAAATGGTAAGCTTGATGTTTTCTGAAAATAATTTCGTGTTTAACATTGACTTCTATTCCCACTCTTTTCTTTGTTGCTGTCACTTTATACTTTCTTTAGTCATTTTAGGAGGCCTAAAAATGTAGCTCAGTGATAGAGTGCTTATGTAGCATGTGTGAGGCCCTGGGTTGGACAGAAAGAAGGAAGGAAGGCAGGGAGGGAGGGAGGAAGGAAGACACCTTAGGGAGGCAAAGACTGGAACCTCTTATGACATGGTGGTAATTAGACCCAATATGGAAGATGAGAGGAAGGGAAGGAAGAAAGAAGTAAAGGAGGGAAAGAGGGAGAGGGCCAGATATTATTAGAAAATGGATAGGAGGTTTAAAATTTTCAGCCCTTTTATTTTTATCTTACTTCAATCTATAGCTCTGACTTATTTCTTCCTGTACTGCCACTCTATTCCCTGCCTTTTTCTCTGTAGTTTATCTTATCTTTTCCTCTTTTTACTTCCTTTCTTTCTTTTTTCCTTTTTTGGTACTGGGATTGAACCAGGGGTACTTTACCACTGAGCCACATCCCCAGCCCTTTTTTTATTTTTATTTTTTTAACTTTGAGACAAGGTATTAACCAAGTTCCTCAGGGCCTTGCTAAGTTCTGAGTCTGGCCTCAAAATTGTGATCCTCCTGCCCCAGCCTCCCAAGCTGCTGGGATTACAAGTATATGCTACAATACCCAGGCCCTCTACTTTATTTTATGTTGTATTTACATAGGTTTATTATTTCTTTCCTACCACCATCCCAAATCAAATTTATATCATGATATGAAAGTTCCATCTAAGATACTTTAACCCTCAATAATAACCATTTTCCAGTTTTACTGAGTGGACCACTTTTCATATTTTCTTTTACTTTTTTAATTTTTCTCTTTGTTTTTTAAGTAAGGAGTCATATAGTATAGAAGTTAAGCTCACAGGATCTGAAACAGTCTGTTTTGGTTCAAGTTCTAATTATGTCATTTACTGTGGCCCCTTATAGTATATTTAACCACTTTGTCTCAATTCCCTCATCTGAGTATGTTTTAGAAATTTTAGAATTAAATGAAATAACTTATATAAAGCTCTTAGAATAATATTTTGAACTATTTAGAATAGTAATTGAGCATGTTTATTATACTTTTGATACATTAGTCTTTGTTAGCAAAACATATTTCAAATATATTCAAATACTACTTTTGAGAATGTTTTAAGAAAAATATGGCAATTTTTACTATCTGTATTCCAATTTCAGAAGAGAAAAAAATGTTAGAAATTATATGAGAAACCTGTGTTGAATCATAAAATTTAAATTGGAAAGGACCTTTGTGCAATTTCTCATTTTACAGTGAAAGAAGCCAAGACTCTGAGAGATTAAATGGCTTGCCCAAAATCACATAGCTAATTAATGGCAGGGCCAGAAATACATTCCATATCTCTTGATTCCCAGTCCAGTGCCATTTCTAGAAAACAAAATTGGCTTTTAGATATCAGTGGAGAATTGAAAATTGAACCTATAGTGTATGAACTCTTTCAGCTTTCCACCATCCTATTCAACTTTCACTCTAACTATGTTATTTTTCTGTCTCTGAACCTATCCTTAATCCTCTGTTTGTCTGGAAAGATGAATTATCTTTTCTTCTATTCAAGGTTTATTTCTCCTCTTGCAAACTTCTTTTATTGTAATTCTCCAACACATTAATTGTACAAATTGGGTTTCACTGAGGCATTTCCATACATGTGTATATTAAGATTTGATCATGTCCACTCTCCCTTCTCTATGTAATCCTGCCCCACCATCCACCTCTTTTACTTTCAAGTCATCTCTTTTTTTAGTTTCCTTATATGAGAAAAAATATGTATTACTTGTCTTTATGTGGTCTGGCTTATTTTGCTTAACATTTTGTCTTAGTTCTATCCATATTTCTGCGAATGGCAACATTTTATTCTTTTTTTAGCTGAATAATATTTCATTATCTATCTATCCATGTATGTATAGGTATGTGTGTGTGTGTGTGTGTGTGTGTGTGTGTGTGGTGTTTTCTTTGTCCATTCATCTGTTGATACATATCCAGGCTGATTTTATAACTGGGCTATTGTGAAAAATGGCAAAATAAACATGGGTGTGCAAGAATCTCTTTTGCATGTTGACTTCATTTCCTTCAGATGTATATACCCAGAATGGTGTAGCTGGATCATATGGTAGCTCTATTTTTAGTTTTTTGAGGAACTGTCACACTATTTTCTATAGAGAGTGAACTAATTTGTTTCCCATCAATAGTTAGGGTCCCTTTTTCTCCACAACCTCACCAACATTTGTTATTTTTTGTTTGTTTATTGTTTTTTGTTTGTTTGTTTTTGATAGTAGCTATTCTGAGTTAAGGTAGAATATCAATGAAGTTGTGATTTGCTTTCCCCGATGACTAAAGATATTGAACATTTTTTCATATATTTATTAGCTATTTGTACTTTCTCTTTTGTGAAATGTCTAATCAGTTCAATTGCCCATTTATTAATTAGATTATTTGGCTTTTGTTAAGTTTTTTGAGTTCTTTTTGTATTCTGGAAATCAATCCTCTGTCTGATGAATGGCTGGCAAAGATTCTCTCCCATTAAGTAGATTGTCTCTTCACTGTTTTGTTTCCTTTGCTGTGCAGAAACTTGAATTTTATGTAATCCCAATTGGTAATTCTTACTTTTGAGGGAAAAAATCATTGCTTGTGCCAATACCTTGAAGTGTTTCTCCTGTATTTTCTTCTAGTAGTTTTAAAGATTTTGGTCTTTAAGTCTTGAGTTGTTGTTTCTTCAGGGTGCGAGATAGGCATCAAATTTCAACCTTCTACATTTGACTATTCAGTTTTCCCAACTTGTTGAAGAGACTCTCCTTCCAACGCTTGCTTTTGACACCTTTATATAAAGAGTCAGTTGGTGAAGGTGCATGAATTTATTTCTGGGCTTTCTTTTTTAAATTTTTTAATTTATATATGACAGTGGAATGCATTATAATTCTTATTACACATATAGACTATAATTTTTTATATCTCTGATTGTATACAAAGTATATTCACACCAATTCGTGTATTTATACCTGTACTTTGGATAATAATGACCATCACATTCCACCATCATTAATAACCCCATTCCCCTTCCCTCCCCCTCCAACCCCTCTGCCCTATCTAGAGTTCGTCTATTCCTCCCATGCTCCTTCTCCCTATCCCACTATGAATCAGTCACCTTTTATCAGAGAAAACATTCAGCATTTGTTTTTGGGGAATTGGTTAACTTCGATTATCATTATCTTCTCTAACTCCATCGATTTACCTGCAAATGCCATGATTTTATTCTCTTTTATTACTGATTAATATTCCATTGTGTATATATGCTACATTTTTTGTATCCATTCACCTATTGAAGGGCATCTAGGTTGATTCCACAGTTTAGCTATTGTTAATTGTGCTGCTATAAACACTGATGGGACTGTGTCCCTGTAGTATGCTGTTTTTAAGTCCTTTGGGTATAGACCAAGAAGAGGGATAGAAAGAGACCCAGAATAGCTAAAGCAATTCTTAGCAGGAAGAGTGAAGCAGGAGACATCACTACACCAGACCTTAAACTATACTACAGAGCAATAGTAACAAAAACAGTATGGTGTTGGCACCAAAATACTACAGAGCAATAGTAACAAAAACAGCATGGTATTGGCACCAAAGTAGACTGGTAGACCAATGGTACAGAATAGAGGACACAGAGACTAACCCACAAAGCTACAACTATCTTATATATTAGACAAAGGTGCCAAGAACATACATTGGAGAAAAGATAGCCTCTTCAACAAATGGTGCTGGGAAAACTAGAAATCCATATGCAACAAAATGAAATTAAACCCCTGTCTCTCACCATGTACAAAACTCAACTCTAAATGGATCAAAGACTAAGGAATAAAACCTGAGACCTTGCATCTAATAGAAGAAAAAGTAGGCCCTAATTTCCATCATGTGGGATTAGGCCCCAACTTTTTTAATAAGACTCCTGTGGTGCAAGAATTAAAATCAAGAATCAATAAGTGGGTTGGATTCAAACTTAAAAGTTTCTTCTCAGCAAAAGAAACAAACTGTGAGGTAAATAGAGAGCCTACATCTTAGGAGCAAATCTTTATCCCTCACACATCAGATAGAGCACTAATCTCTAGGGTATATAAAGAACTCAAAAAGCTAAACACCAAAA